AGTAGAAGGAAGAGGAGGAGGAGGAGGAAGGTGGAGGAAGGAGGGAGAAGTTCGAGGATTACGATTAGGATTTGGAAGAGAAGAAGGAGGAAGAGGAGGAGAAGAGGAGGAGGAGGAGGAGGATTGAGGAGAAAGAGGAGGAGAAAGAGGAGGAAGAGGAGGATTGAGGAGAAAGAGGAGGAAGAGGAGGATTGAGGAGGAAGAGAAGGAGAAGGAGGTGGAGGAAGAGGGATGCGGAGAAAGAGGAGGAGGAGGAGGAGGAAGAAGAGGAGGAAGAGGAGGGTTGAGGAAAAAGGAAGTTGGATGATTAAGATTAGGATTAGGAGGAGAAGGAGGATGAGGAGAATAAAGGAGGAGGAGGGGGTGGAGGAGGAGGAGGGGGGAAAGAGGAGGAGGAGAAGGGGGAGGGGAAAGAGGAAGAGGAGGATCAGGAGGGGGAGGGGGAGAAGGAGGAAGGAAGAGGAGGAGGAGGGGGGGAGGGAGGGGGAGGAGGAGGAGGAGGAGGAGGAGGGTCAGGAGGAGGATGAGGATGGTCAGGAGGAGGAGGAGGAGGAAGAGGAGGAGAGGAAGAGGAGGAGGAGAAGAAGAGGAGGAGGAGGAGGGTCAGGAGGAGGAGGAGGAGGGCCAGGAGGAGGAGGAGGAGGGCCAGGAGGAGGAACAGGAGGGTCAGGAGGAGGAAGAGGAGGAAGAGGAGGAGAGGAAGAGGAGGAGGAGGGGAAGAGGAGGAGGAGGAGGAGGAGGAGGAGGAGGAGGAGGAGGAGGAGGAGGAGGAGGAGGAGGAGGAGGAGGAAGAAGAGGAGGAGGAGGAGGAGGAGAAGGGGGAGGAGGAGGAGGAGGAGGAGAAGGGGGAGGAGGAGGAGGAGGAGGAGGAGGGGGAGGGGAAGGGGGGTCAGGAGGAGGAGGAAGAGGAGGAGGAGGAGGAGGATATAGCGAAGTTGCGGGAATCGAGAGCTCCAATCGGTCCCACACTTCAGTCTAGCGGCGCATGCCCAGTGGTGCTGTGCAGTACACGTTCGTGAGGAATCAACCCGTTTTCCGATGTTTTTGCAAGGAGTGCGACATGTATTGAATAACGCGGCGAGTCTATGAAGTTCCCTTAATCTTAAAGACGTGTGATACAACGGACGTGTTCTTTGAAATAAGAGTGAAAATGTCAAATGAATCTGAAACACAAACTGACGGAGAACTGGTTGTGGTTGTGACAGAGTGAGATGCCAGTTGTTGTATTTTGAGCATCCATTTAATTTCCAACCTCGTTTTGTACGCGTTTAAAACACAAGCATAAATTCTTTTGAAAATCTAAACATGGATACAGATGCAAACATTATCTGTCCCCAAACAGTTAAATAAGACTGCTAAAAGGCAACTCTCTCGCCATGTTAAGCAAGCAACGTCCAAGCATATAGGTCCCGATTTGACTCACACCTGCCTGCTTTGACCAATGTTTTTAACATTATCTCTATACACGTGAGCAGTGCTACATGTGATCCTGTAGACACAAAAACTTGGACAGTGTAAGAAAAATATATCGTAAAAAAATATTCACCATGAGTGCTGATGGTAAGTACTTCGTGGAGGAATGGTCATAGTCATATTAGATTTCATGGCTTTGAGATGTCTTTACAGTATTGATGGTTTGCCGTCTTCTAAGTTTTCATGGACTGTAATCTGAGGAGTTAGGACATATTGTCTTACACTCAAGTTAGGATGAGACGAATTTGATGTAGTTGCTGTAGCGGATTAAAGAAGGTTATGCTTTTAGTTCCCGGGTGTCTGTTTTCATTTCTTGATATGATGAATTGTATAAATTACGAATATGATATTCACGATTATGATTATAATGTTTAAAAATCAGGGATATAACGATATTGATAGTTAATGATAATGAAAATGTTAATGAAGATATGATAATGATAGTTGAAGAAAAATGACAGTTGACAACAGTAATTTTATTGACGCTTTTAACAAAACAAAATAAAACAAAAAATTATAGATGAAGATACCAATGAGAATCTATTAACCAAATGACAAAGGAAGTCAACAACAGTGTCATTAACATTGGTCATAATACTGGTAATATTTGAGGCATTGATGACAGTGAGATTGGGAATGAGTGTAAACAGTGATAAAGTTAATAATAAGTTAATTGTACTAAAATAATAATGGTAACAGTAACGGGAAAAAATAATATTGCCAATCATATTTTATTAATGAAGATGATAATAGTGAGAGTTACAATGTTCTTAATGAAAATAACCATGATGATAAAATGATTATATCAGTGAAATATGTGATGATGATAATGAAAGTAGTAAAAGTGGCAATAATGATGATAATGGTAATAATAGCAATAATAGTAAAGTGGGAGCAATCATGATGATATTAAAGATAATTGCAAAGATAATAACAATATGGATATTAATAATACTGATGACAATAGTGGTGATATTGGTAATGATGACAATGATGAGAGAAATAATAATAATAACAATAATGACAG